GGAAGGAAGGAAGGAAGGAAGGAAGGAAGGAAGGAAGGAAGGAAGGAAGGAAATGACTTTACTGCCCACAGTTTCTGAGTGTGTAATCATTTTTGACTGAATAATCCATACCTATGTAGTATACTCCAAACTCAATTTTGTTTTTTACAGGTTGAGTCAACTCTATTCCAGCTGCAAACATTGTGACAATAGCAAGTTGTTTCCCAGACTGAGGGTGACTACTCCATGCTATATTAGTGAACAGAATTAAGTCCTCCAAACATCACACTTGAATCCATATCTACTTGGTAGTGGCTTTGCAGTTCACACTGAGTACAAATTTAAACAGCACACCTTCATGTAATCATTGGATGTCCTGAAACAGCAACTGCTATGAGAGGTGGGCTCTACTCTTTGAGAGAAAGGGAAACAACATCTTCAAAGTGGAAAGACACATTTTTGTTGTGGCAAAAGGACAATTACTGCAACACCTACATCAAATGAAAACGTTGTACCTTTTAAAATTAATTTTCTTCCCCTATAACTGTGGCTACAGATTTGGAAAAAAAAAAAAAAAAAAAAGCATATATGTAATCCTTCACAAGGAAAACTGTATTTCAGGCAATGGAGAGTTTTTTCTTTTAAACTTACTGTCTATATGTATGAAGAACTTCATTGGAGTGGATACAAAGAAATGTGGAAGAGTCTCTGCCACCAAGGGGTTTATAAACAGGAATATTTCACTGCTGCTTTTCTCATTCATAGTATTTTACAGGGATCAAGCTCCTATTTTTTTTCCCTATCTGTTGCTTTGCTGGCACACACTGAATTTTCACAATAAGTGAGAAGACTGAAGCATGAAGTTACATGCTGCAAAGTGGCAGTGAGAAGAGCCATGTGTCATATTGTGTATCTTGATCACATTATTTCTAAAGTAAAAACATTCAGTTGATTCAAGGAGCTATTCTGGCAGGGGTGGCACTGAGCAAGTATGGTCCATAGTCTGCCTGATAAACACAAAATTATTGTGTCAGATCTTCATCAAGATTTCTTCCACATACATATAAAAAAGTAATTTTAAACACTGCTTTCATCACAGTCAAAGTCACAGGAGAAGATGGTTCCCCTGACTCCTTTTAGAACTTGGATGTAGACTGAAATGCCTAAAATAGATCATATATTGTGATCCAAGGTTAGCTGAATGCAAAAGATCAGCATTTTGCTGCTTTCTTTTCCTTGTGAAATTCCCTGCACCAGAGCAAGATATTGCAGAAAGAACTTATGATATTTGAAGGATACCTTTCTGAAATGTATGATGCCCCTGAAAATATGCTACTACTGCATTTTGGAGGTAATAGTAAAAGTAATAGTGTTTAGCATCAACAAGAAGACATTCTATCTAAAAGATAACAGTGCATCACACCACAGAAAGGGCTTTAGCATTTTCTGAATACTGATAGCCATATATCTGGACCCATAGTTTTCCTGGTATCTAAAGACATGCACCTTTGAAATAAAGATAAAATTTCTAGGATGATAGACATTATAGACCCTAATGGCTGATCATAACTACAAAATATGCCTGCATCCCAAAATCACGGAACTCCATATGTTACCAGAAAATCCTTAGCTTCTCCAAACTTCAAGAAATATATTAAGACAACTATTTAAAATACTAAATATCTTCAGGCTGAGATCTTCAAAGTTCAAGAATCTGTTAGATTTTTCATGCTTAGCAGTTAACACCTACCACTGCAACCAGTAAGTAGAAAGCTTGAAAAACATATTTTTCAATCAAATATGTGTCTGGTATGCTATCATTACATTTCCTGATGCTGCCTACAAATCTGTTTGGTTCACTTGGAATATATATTTCCACAGTTCTTTCACAAGAAAAATATGAGACTCAAATCTGACCTTTTTTTAAGTCTTAAAGAAACTTAAGAATATTGCTCACCCTGTCAGAACTAAATTAATTACTGCAAAACTTGCAGCTGGATAGTAGTTTTCAAATGATGAATATTTACTGGTTGTCAATATATTTAGATGTTTTATGAAAGCAATAAGTTTCCCATGGAGATATAAATAATTACAGTGTTTTCAGTTCAGAGTTGTATAAGTTACTTGATCTGAATGCTAAATTTATAAACCTAGTGATGATTCTTTGCTTTTGGATTTAACTTTTCATTTCCTATTGCTCATCATGGTAGTGAGTATTGCTCACTGGGAACTAAGGTTTGCCTGAATATCTGCAGATGAAGAAATGTAGGAGAGAGATGAATGTCTTACTTATGGTAACCACCCAGGTTGAGCATTAATCCACAGTATGCAAATTGCAGCGTTAAATATCATCTGTGCTAATCATTGTATCTGAGGTTGACTGAACTGAAATTAATCTGTGGTATGTTGTGACACATTACTGCTCAGTGTCAGCTTACTTCAGAAGAGAACTCTCATTACATGCTTCTGTCTCACATAAATAACCAGAGAGTCTTGTCTGTGTAACCCTCACTTTTCCTAACTTTGTTCATTCTTTAGTAAGGTAATATCTCCGGCAATATTATCTTACTAAATAAGTACTGACTAAACTGGGACAAGTAAAGGCTGGATTTTTATGAACTTTCTCAATATCTTGTTGATATATTCACAGGATATTTTCTAGATCATGAACTGATTTGATGACTGTATTATTTAATAATAATAATAATAATAATATTACTGATCTTCTTGTTTAGGATACATGAGCCTCATGGTTGTGCAAATAACACAACAATATTTGTTTTGAAGTTTATAAAAGTAGAAACTGTTGATGTTTGCTAAACATTCACTTTTAAAGGCCCTGGATCAAAATTTCAAAATGCAATCTATCTGCTCATGATTAAACTTCTTTAGGACTTGCTGCACAGTAAAATAACCTCTGGATATATAATAGTTTGTCAGGCAATTTCATGCTTCCAAATTACACACAAAGAAATTTTTGAGCACTGCAAACTTTTATACAAAAGAAATCCCACATGTGATTGCATTCTACTTTTGAGTTTTTAAAATAAGTTCAACCAAATGTCACCATTTGTTTTAGCCAGTTACTGGCTAATAATACTACTAATAAATAATTAATAATAATTAATGAATAATACTAATATTTAATATGAGGCAGCCTCCAGTTTGCATCAGATATGTTTGAAGAATGCAAGATTGGGCACACTCCAATGATTTAATTATGCAAACAGTAACACAACAACAGACAGAGGAAGAAAATAATCTAATATCTGTTGTGTCTCTCTTTTTTCCTTTTCTAAATTTTTATATACTAGTACACACTAGAAGAATGCCCTGTCTCTGTTCATAGATCTTTCCTTACATGCTGAGGCCAAAATATATGGTGACACTCAAAAGGCAGTAAATGTCTGCATGTCTGCCCCTGCCATGCCCAAAATTGCTCTCAGGTCTCCCTGGGAAGAGAGAAGGCTCTTTGGTAGGGCTTCTGAAGTTCCTTGAGGAGAGAGGGAAACCTTAGGTGACTGCAGCCAGCCCATAACTTCTACAGTATGTTGCCTTTTCACTCTCCCCCAGCTGCAGCTGCCTTACATTCTTTTAGTCCATTAAGGCTCTCAAAAGGCAACTGGTTGAGAAGCCCTAAAATTCGAGACTGCTGCTTTTGCTTGTCAGGGGAAGAGGTTTCCTGTAGAGCTGACTGCCTTTGTTTAAAGGTTCTGTCTCCAAACTGACATACAGGAGGAGCTTGCCCCTAGATATTATCCTTTGCTCTTTTTATCCTTGTCCTCCCAATTTTATGTTACTAAGGTTGATTGCCACAGTAAAACATGCAAAATATGAAACATTCCCGTACAGCAGTGCTGAATCAAAATCTCAAAGGTGTCTGCTATGTCATAAGCAACCTGTCCAGAAAAAAAATAATTGAGCATACAGAAACTTGTGTAAAATCAGCTCAAGATAAACCTAATCACAGCTGTGCTTGCACTCCTCTACTGTATAAACTCAGGCTGATCAAATGAATTAATCAGGACACCACAGACTCCCTTCCTATGTGGCACTGACTGGTGAATGAGCATGACCTGGCAAGGATGAGGGCCACTAAGAAACCTCCTCAGAAAGAAGCTTCCTGAAAAACATGGACCAAAGTTTTAGGCTCCTCAGAAGACCTCCACTGGAGTCTTTTCAGGCTCTGTCTTCTATGAATGGCTTCAGTGGGTGCTGCACTGGCATTTGGCCAGTGCCTAAGCCTTATGGCTTGGATTGCAGAGCACATGAGCATAGTTAGTGCTGCTTAAGAGAACAATAACTAATCAGTTTAAGGAAGAGATGATAATGCTTTCTGTAATTGAATGCATGCTTTACTCTCTTACCTAATCACATCCTCCTTTTTTCTCAAGAACACAGGAACACTTCACTGGAAACTGAATGGAGATGAAAATATAAAGTGGAATGAGAGCTGGATTTAAAGCTCATGTATAATCAAGCTGTATGTATGAGATGAAGGCTCAGTTCAGTCTCCTCCCCTCTTCCCTGCTCAGTGGGTGCTGACACAAGAGTAGAATTTATTGCATAGTAACTATACCACAATTTCTATTTGCAGTAGTCCCCTTTCAAGTTATAACATTAAGAAATAATGTTTCAGGGCCAGATGTGTTATTTAGTCACTCCTCTCCACTCTCCTTCTCCATTTTTGTGAACATTGTTAGAAAAACAAGATGGTGAATAACGAATTAACATAAGGCCCTGACCTGGATTTTGATGGAGAAGTTTTTTATTACCTGTCCTTCTTTTCTGTAATTTTCTAGAAGTTTCAGGATTCAGAAGGTATGAGTTCAGGAAACTGTGATTTAAGAGCATTCATGCTTTCATGTAACATTCTGAACTTGCTTTATGAAACCCATCTCAGAGGTTAATCTCCTTCAATATATACAACAGGAGGAAGCTGTATACTGATTTTGACTTTGGTGGTCACCTATGGGACTGTCCATCCTAGAGTCTGCATGCATAAAGAAAAGTGTTTGAAGACCTGAAAACTGAAAATGAGGTATGCCACTGTTTGCTAGCCTATTTTAAATTCAGTTTCCTTATTTTCAAGGGTTGGAAGGATAGGATGGGCAGGTACATAATGTCCATCAACCTGAAAATGCAATAAACAAACAATAGTCAGGCTATGCCTGCTTTTTGCACTGATTGAAAATCCCAAACAAATATCCCCCAGCCTGGAAAGGTTAAAAAAAAATCAAACAACTAAACAAACAAAAACCTCGGCTTATATGAAATCTTACTTTTCCTTCATCCCCAGAGAAGGAGAAATTCTTTCCCCAGTTCTCTGTAGAACAATTATCTATGAATTGAGGGAGCTTTTATGAAGTAAGTCTAAAGCATTAATTGCTATTTCTGAAGCTCTTAAACCTTCTCCTTGTGAACAGTGCTTCAGTGCAAAGTACTATTTCTATAAAATTCGTAATTAATTGGATCTTTGTGATTTTAGTTCAAGCCATAAAGAATCAAAAAGGTCTTGGTCTTTTTGACACTCCAGGAAGAAATGGAGAGAGGGGAACATTCAAAGTTTAGGAAAAGGAAAGAAATCAACAAAAGGAGATAATTTCTTTGATGTTATGCACAGCAGAAACTATCCTGTGAACTGCCCATGAAGTGTTGTGAAGATACAAAACATCCAGCAAGCATCAGTAAGAACGGGGAGTTTCCTTTAATCTTCTTGTCAGGTCGTGTTTTCAATTAGCTGCAGATGATCTGACACAATATCAGATTCTGTGAGTTAAGGGCTTAATAAACAAGCCAAAATGTGCAGTGGCATCAGAACTACTCTTAAGGCACAGTCTCCAGACAGCAGGTACATTTCTGAAGGTCGGTATGACATTTTTATCAGCACAATTGGCAAGTGATGCCAAAGATGCTGCATCAAGACAAAGAGGAGGATATGAAGAGGCTCAGATACAAAACACTAAAATAAATATTTTCTCACTAATAATATTGAATTTAAAGAAACAAGCATGAGAAAAAGGTCTGTGTTTGGCCCAGTGCAGTAAACCAGTTCAGGAAATCCTGCTCTGATTAAGTTCCAAAATGTATAAATTAAATCAGTTTGAGGCATGGCAGAGAGATCCTTCCACTCCCACAGCAGGGTGGCCATCTAATCCTTTAGGTCTTTTTATTTTGTCCCAGCCTCTGAGTTCCAGACTGAGGACAGAAGAGGCAAGGGGTTTCCTTGTTTGCAACCATACAAATTCATTGAATCCAGCTTGTCCTTGGAAAGTTGGATATTATCACAGATCCTGATGTCTTTTTCCACAAAATTAAATTACAAAGAGGGTAAAATAAAGGTGAGTTAACAGTGTACCTTAGACCTGCACTGGCTTCTGCTGTGTTAAAAGACAGAGCTCTCATGTCTTTCTCTTATTCTGATTTGTTCCATCATCCCTAGGACCTGGTCACTCTGCTAAATGGTGAAATACATCTAAGAAGAGTATTAAGATCAGAAACTCCAGTATAAATTGAGAAGGTGTGACTGCAGCATCACCAAAAGTGTGTTAACCCACAGCACCTTACTCTGAGGAATACCATTTCAGTCTTGGAAACATGATCCATAATTCAGTCCTGATGTTTTTCCTCAGCCCTTACTTTCTGAAATGGATAAGAAATCCACTGCTATGATTTTGAGCTCTGTCTGACTAAAGATGAAGATCATATTTCATCCCTGCTCTTGAATGACTTTTGCAGTGGAATAAAACAAATATATGCATTGTTCTGTTGAACAATGCATGTAAAGCAATAAATCCTCTTCTGGTTATAAAAGGAGCAGGGATGAGTCCTCCACATGTGCAGGAGGAAGACAGCAGAAGAAGCTGAATGAACAGATCTTGTATATGGAGAGGCAAATAGTGTGCAGTGGATGGAGTGGTGTTCTGGGAGAGAAGCCAGAGGTTATGCTGGGCACTGCCTCAGGCTCTCTTGTGCAGGCAGCCCAAGTGAGAACAGAGAAGCCATGCTGCAGGAGTGGGAGCAGGAGGGCTCTTCAGCGTCGGTGCTCAAAACAAGCAAATGCAAGTTTTTGGGTTTTAAAATTTCACACGAAAATAACCAGGGGTATGTATAAAGAGATTTACTATCTTTGCATAATTGTTTAGCCTAATGCTGTTGCAGAATGAGCCGTTTGTCGGGGACGAGCCATTTGTCTGGCAGGGAAAACTCGGGGCTCAATATGAGTCAACAGCAAGTTCCGTTTATTGAAGAGAGCATCGGACACTTATACAGCGAGTAATAAGCTTATGAATATTCTGCAAGCCAAGCAATCTATTGGTTAAACTATACCATAAACTTCCTCATTCTTTTGGGCCTACATTCCTTATTTCCCATGTCTCTCTGTCTACTTGTTATCATACCCAGCTAGGCCCAAGGACACGCTATGTTGCAGGTGCAGGACTTGGAATTAGCCACAGCCTTGTACTTTTCCAGTCTCTAGTCAGCTAAAATCTGAACATAATGCTCACCTTCTGCGGTATGCAATGTAAAAAATTAATTGGAGGAAAAAATGTGAAGAGCACACTAATTCAGTACTGTTTTCATTCGAAGTTTGTAACATCAAGCAGATTCAACATAAAATGGATAGCAAAATAGGAACCAATGACAATTTTCTGTTCATGCCCAAATGTTTCTCAAAGAGAAAGAAAATTAGGTTATGTCTGGACAAGAGTTCCCTTCCACTGTCTTATGTAAAGACTGTCCTGCTTTACAAGAAAAAAATACGAGTTTTCTCTTTGGTCTGAGAGATGAACATTAAAAGAAACTCACATTCCTTTACGGCATGGCCATGAAACTGAGTGATACTTGATCTAAAGAAGAATGTTTAAAGCAAAAAATGTCTTTATACCTTATGAGCCCAGATATTTGAAGGGACAGAACTGAGGGAAGAAGCAGTGAAATACATAAAATACAGTGACAGAGGCATGTCAGGACACAGACAGGTGTGTTGCCTGACTTGGCCCACAGAAGTACAATACAAACTACGTAAATGAAGTTAGGAATTTCAGTGTTGAGATTGCAAGCAGCACTGGCTATGTTGAGGCTAGACAAGGCTGCCAGATACAAAACTATATTTGCTTATTGCCCAGAAATGTGTTTTCTAATTAAGCGATACATTACCAAAGCCAAAATCTGGGAAGCCACAAAAGTCTCTGACCTCTGCATGCTTAGGGTGCTCCCTGTGCAGCAGCCGTGTACTGGCAGGCATCATGTATGAAAGCAGACCTGTAGAAGTGTTAACAGCAACTTTTCACTTCCCTATGGACTGTGAACAAACATGCAATAGCCAAATTGTCCAAAGCCTAAATTTTTAGCTTAGACTGAATATAACATTTACTCAGCCAAGGGTGGTTGGTATTACCTATTTTTCTGTGTCTGCTACCTTAAGTGTCAATTCACAGATCTTTCACAGGGACCCAGAGAAGTGGCACCCTCACTAAAACACAGTGTGAGCCTCTCCAGCACAAATAGCAGCTTCACTTCCCCATGCTTGGGACTGTGCTGATTAAACAAAGACTATGAAAAGGCAAAGGTGCTCTTTAGGAGCACCAGAGCAGGCCTCAGATTTACTGCAAGTTTTGCAGACAACATACCAAATAAATAATTCCCTAAACAAATCAAGTTTCATATTTAGGGATTCAGGTTTCATAGAAAAAATCTTGGTTTGCACTACTGAGTGCTGTACTGCCTAATTTCCTCACTCCTCAGGGTCACCCATTTCGTCCTGAATGCTAACCAAGTTCTCTTTTGAAGTGACAGCACTTTTTTAAGTTTGTGAAATCAGTAACTGGTATGGGCTTATCTGATATTCTGTGTGAAAACCCGAGTCTTCAATTATTCTGCTAACTTCCAGCTTCTCTTTCTTAAGAAACCTGATAATTTTTCTTACACCAATCGAATCAAGCATTTTACTGAGGCTGAAGCAAATTAGATTTAACTCATTTTATTTTCCTAGAACATTAATTTTCTCTAATGTCTTAACTACTGACCAAAGACAAGCCTAAAAGGGCTTACCTCCTTGGATCAAAAAGGTTTCTTTTGGTCAATAGACCTGTTGTATCAAGGCAAAAGGTATTTATTTAATATTTATTTAAGAACCTGTTCTCCAGTACATCCCTTGAAGATTACAGACTTCCTTAAAAGTTCTTAAAGACAATTTACACACTCTTGACAGCTCATCCCCCCATCACAATTACAACAAAATTCCCCACAATAATTCCACCATCTTGCAATGTCAAGTCCATGTTTTACCTTTTATATCTTACCATTACTGTCATTATCTAGAATTCTAGAGCCCCACTCTTGAGCTCCAAGGTTGACCTTGGCTGCCAGACATGTTCCTACCAAGCTGCCCTCTTACTTCCCCTCCTCAGCAGAGGGAGAAAATAAGACTAAAAATTTGTGGTTCATGATAAAGATTGTTTAATGAAGAAAGGCTAAGATACATGGAAGCATAGCCAAAAAAAAAATTATTCTCTACTTCCCACCAGTAGTCATGTCCAGTCACCTCTCAGAAGCAGAGCTCCAGTTTGCATAGCAGTTGGTTTGGAAGAGAAACATCTGAATAATGAATTTTAATTATAAATGTCTCCCTTCTTCTCCTTTCTTTTAGCTTTAATTGCTCAAGACAAGATCATGCATGCAATGGGATATGGCTTTACACAGTTTGGGTCTTCTGTCCCATGTCCTCTCCGACCTCTGGCCCACTCCCAGCCCCCTGGCCTTTGTGGGAGAGGTTGATGCCCCACTAGCACTGCTCAGCAATGGCCAAAACACTGGTGTGTTATCAACAACCCTTCCAGCTACAAATACAAAGAGCAGCACTTAGAGAACTGCTTTGGGGAAGTCAACTCTGTTCCCAGAGAGACACAGTTATATTATATTATAATATAATGTGAAATGTTGCTCTCACACAATCTAAACAGCAGTTACCAACTCAGACTGAATTTAAAGCACATGTCTGTGGATAAAAGTTGTAAG